AAGTATTAAATGTTCAGGTAATTTTGTATGGTCATTTTCAATTAATATTTGTTAAGCAGTAAAGTGTTCTTGGTTTTGGCAAATGTGAGGTGTTGGTTACGTGCAAGAAGTGATAAAAATGTCCTAAGTTTAAGATATGCATGTAACATAAGGAAGAAGCAAACAAACAATAGCTTATAAATAACTTAGTACATAATCAAACATGTCATGGTGATGAAGCTTATAAAGAGCATGTGAGGAAGCTAACAAAGTTTTTTAAATACAAAGACAAGATAAAAAAAAATAAAAATAAAAACCCTAAATAAAAATGCAAATTAAAATATTCAGGTGAAAAGCATTAATGGACATACATTTTTAAGGTGGAATTGCAGGCACTAATTGCTATCACACTACAACAGAAAAGGTATTGAGGTTAAAACAACAGTTTCTTTGTAAAATCCAGTTAAAGGTTGTTATGATGCTTGTTATTGTCCATCAAATAACAAGGAGTTTTTTCTAATGATCTTTGTTATTGTCCAATAGGTAATAGGCTGTATAAAGTGCAAATCAATCAAAACAATAGCAGTTTTCATTGGTCATGTAGGTGCAAAATCAATCTCACAAGCTAAATAAGAAGTGACAAAAGTTGACTTTTTACAAAAGATTTTAATGTGATAGGTTAAAGGATTATAGAAATGATATCATAGTAGAGTAACTAAGGTAATTAAAGAATTTCATTTTTTCTTACTTCCCCAGAATTATTTACATATGCAAGGCACTTTATTTAGTTTTGCTCCAAAATATAATAACATAATGCATGTGCTCTGATGAGCATAATTAATTGCACAGAGTAAGAAGGTGGATAAAAAGAGAAAACTTGTTTAATATTTTAAAAGAAATTGATGTTATTTTGTAATTGAATTAAGTAAATAATGACAGCATTATATTTCTACCCATTGGTAATATTTGTTTAGAAGGAACAATAATGCATTTTCTTGTTTAACAACCATGACCAATTAAAGCTAACATAACAGGAGTTTCATTTGAATACATGTCTGTAAAAGATACTGCAGTACATTACTTTATTATTTACCATAGCAATAAAATAGTTACATTCAATATTAACAAGCAAGTGTATGTAGCAAAGCTTTCCTTTTAAAAGGCCTTTGAAACCCATAGTGTTTTGATCAAAATGGCAGCAACAAGAAAGCATTTAATCCACCTGTACATGGAAGATGGTAGAAATTTACATTAATGGACAACAATGTATATTTTGTTATAGAAAGAGGTTTGAATCATAAGGCATAGTACCTGTAATAGACCAAGTTACATTATACTAGACAACTACAACATCATATGCAACAATGTTCTTTAGAAATGTTGTTGCATGATCTACAGAAGGGTGAGGTGCAATAACAATCACTTTCTAAGATTTTTTTTTTTTATTATTTTACTCTCGACAAAGCGACATACAATTGGCCATGTGAAAAGCACAGTTATGGCAAGTAAACCAGCACTTGGTTTAATGTTTGGCCTTGATATTTGTTAATGCTCATTACAAAACTAAGTTTGATAGGCAAATGTATTCGTTTTAATTGGAATGGGTATTTTGTTGATGCTGGAGGACGGAGGTTAACACAATGTTTGAAGACAAATTCTCCTTGCTGATGGCCAATTGCTATTGCACAGACAATAACATTAGGGAAAAAGCACTTTCATATGAGTCTTGTGCCATTGCATAGCCTATCTGCTATAACTATGTTTCTCATGAGGATTACAGGACAATTTTCTTTGAGAATGAGTTCATGTGGACTCATCCCACCTAGCGAAAGCTAGTTTAGGAAATTTGTTGGGTATATTACACAATTATCATTTAGAATTGTGTCAAAACTTTTGTAAGCAACTGGAGTTCATGGGGACTTCTCAATAAAAGTATTGTTTAGCGAGTCAACAACATCATTCATGGTGTGAAAATTGCTCTATCTGTGAAAATATCCGGGGAAAAGTGTGCATTTCCCAGTTCGGGAAATGTAGCAGCAGCAAGATGATTGATTGGGTCTTCGCCTGGTTTAAAATAGCTTACAATGTGAGCAGGAACTTGCACAAGAGCATTTTCAGAGGACTGCAGTTGACCATTGCCCAAACTCAATAAAAAAGATGCATATGGCTGGTCTTCTTTTGCTCTGATGTTTTCAGTCAAATGTAGTTTTTCTAACCAAGGCCAAACATGTGAACTAGCCAGGCTTGCTGCGACTGCTTCTCGTTGAGTTTTCAGCGGAACAATTGGCAAAACCTGCTTGAAATCTCCACCAATCACTAGGACTTTCCCACCGAATGGCTAATTTGGATATCATAGATCACGAAGTAAGAGGTCAACTGATTCTATGTTTTCCCTTCGTGCCATTAAAGCCTCATCCCAAATGATAAGTGTTGTTTCTTTATTAAAGCAGCTAAACTGCCTTGTCTAGGTACGTCGCAGGCAAGGGATGCATCTAAATCCAGTGGAATTTTAAACTGCGAATGTGTTGTCCTACTAGAAGGTATGTTTGAAGCTACTATTACTAATGTTGATGTTCAAAGGGCAATCTTCCCAGCAAGACGTACCTCAGAATACAGAGTATTATAAAGAAATGTTTTCTTATTCCCTCCCGGACCATCAACAAAAAAACAACTAGGCTTTTCTGCCTAGACACAAGAAATAATTTTGTCAAAGGCTATTTGCTGAGCTAAATTCAGTTTTTCTCTATAGTCGATACATTCTTAGGGAATAATAGGTGCTTCTAAGGCGTCAATGATGTCCTTAGTTCTCGTCAACTAAGGAGGTAAGTTTTCACGTAGGTGTTCAAGCCGGAAATCTGCCAAGGATTTCCCCAAAGATTCCAAATGTTGTTCAACTGACCTTAAAGTAAGTTGCCTAACTTGCCCTTCATTTCCTGGGTGCCTATATCTGTAGTCCTCAGACAAATCTCTATAAAACCGTGACCAAAGATTGTTCGGGTTGCTAGGCTGGCAAAATACTAACACAGTAGCAAACACGCGACGTAGAGCTATAGGCATATGAACCTCTGCTGCCTCAGCCAAACACAAAACAACTACATCGTCTTCCTCAAAGAGTCCTCTTTTGATAGCTTCTTCTTGGAAGCTATCACAAAGTACTCCATTCACAGTCCTAAGATCATTAAGTGACTTAGGGCTACGCAGATTAATAAGAAGCAAGTGCAAGAAAAAGCGTTCTCCTTCTGGTGCGACAAATGCTAGTCGGCCAATCATAATTTTCTTTGTTTTCCTTTCAAACAAAGCTTTAGCACTGCTATACCATCTATTATGCTCCATGAATTCACTATAAAGGTATCTTGCACCTTTAGGAGAAGCTGCATTAACTTTAAAGAATTCTTTTAATTGAGTCCTAGACTTTTATTCGTTCAATATAACATAATCTAGCTGTTCATGAGGCCTTATCTGGACTGTCTTCATGTTTTCAAGGTGCACTTGCAGAGGTTGCACAGGAGGGTGCATCTCAAACAAATCAACCCAAAGATCCTCCAAGCTGCTTCACATGGCGAAACCCACCGACCAGATTGAAATATGTCAATCTCATCTACACAAGCATTTTCTTCTCCAACAACATTTAACGATACTCTGTCAAATCCTTTGTAAACATACTTGTTTAAGTATTTTACAACCTGAATAGTTAAACAAACTTCCACATTTAATTGACAGTCAAATAAAGATGAGAGGTAAGGAATGTATGGAATAACCCAGCTATTATCAAGGGTTATACCACGGATTCGGACACTCTCTCCAATGTTCCTTCTTCTACACATAGGGTAGCTATCAACATGATTTGTAGTTTCTTACAAGAGTTTTTTTAGGGTATCCATATTTACACGACATAGATCCACCTTTTTTTTGAACCATGAATGAACATTGAGGGTTTAAAAGACCACATGGTTGATGAGTCTATTTTATATGTATTTTTATTCCTCGTCCCACGGTCATATTTGTGTCTATTTGAGCTCTTAGGAGCTATTTTTAATACTAATATACATTTTCTAGTGTTTTCGTAGAGTTGGTATTATTTTATTGGAATTTGCAGATTTATGACAATTCCCGAGCTTATTGAGCCACTACAAAGCATAAGAGTCTGATCCTTTTTATGACCAAGTATTTGAGCCAAAATCGAGTTAAAGGATTTTAATTCGTTGATTAAGGGCTCGATTTGTGAAGAGGTCTAAGTTCTTTACAAGCTAGAACACGGTCTAACCAAGGAAGGAGAATTGGGCCAAAGTTAGAAGCCCAATCTCAAGTCTGCGCTAAAATTCAGGCCGCGAGCTTCAGCATGACGCTCTTTCAGTTATCAGGTCTGCAAATTATCAGGCTTGCTGACATAGCCAGTTTTCATTGTTAGGAGGAATAGTAATTTGAGTTTTAGTGGGATTAGAGATTTGACTTAAACTAAAACTACTTTTCCTTTCTTATAAAAGGAGGGTAGCAGTTGTTACTCTGGAGTAGTTTTAGATTATATAGGTTTTAGATTAAGGGTTATTTTCAAAAAACCACCCAAAAATGTGTTGAATTTCTAACTAACCACCCAAAAAAAAATTTATTTTAAAATACCACCCATTAAATTAATTTTTTGCTTAGATTCCCACCCAATTTGAAAATCCGGTGGTTTTTTAGCTTGTGGGGCCCAGTTTAGTTATTTCCCTTTTTTGTTTTCCCTTTTCTCTCGACTTCACTGTCTTTCACTCTGTTTCTCATTCAATTCTCCCAACTAACCCTATTCTACAATCAAATTTCACTCCTTTTTTCAGCGAATTCCCCCTTTCTCCATAAATTGCTGTGCATTGTTCAATTCAGAACCCTAAATTCGACATTAAAACCCTAATTGTACTTGCAACAGGAATTAATCTAGAGTAATTGCTTGAAGTGGGGTTGTTTAATTGCAAAAAAGTCGCCATCTTTTGCTGTTTACTGGGGACCAGGAGCTTAGGTGAGGAACCTGACAATAGCTCAGTGCAATGGCGTCGAAAGAGGTAAGCAATTTTTTTGTTTGTGTTTAATGTTGAAGGTTGTTGGTTGTTGATGGTATATTTGCAATTATGTGGAAAGTTAGGGTTGTTTGTGTATTTGATTGAGTTATGTATTCTATTACTGTAATTGTTGTTGAATTATTTAATTAGGGATGTACTTAGGAGAGTGAATTAGGCGAATTGTTTACTACTACTATGTGTAACAAAGTTGCATTTTTTGTGCATGTGAATTGTGTTGAAAGTGCATAATTTTGCTTTATACAATGAACAGGTTGTTGCTGATGTTGATTATGTAGCTGTTAAGGTTAGACTAGGGGGGTGTTTGTGAACAAAAAAATAAAGGGGAAGACATTATGTGGGTATGAGGGTGGCTTTGAATATTGGAGGTACAAGTGTAAAGTTAGTGAGATGTCTGTGAACTTTGTTAGGGAATCTTGCATTTGGGGCTTTGTGAAGTTAGATATGCATGTGCCAAGGCTGTTCAATGTTTGGTATAAGATAAAGGGGAGGACTTGGTCAAGTGGGAAAAAGGAGATTGTGAGTGACAGTGATGTCCAAGGCTTGCTAGAGACAATAAACAAGGATAAGGTTGTTATAGTTTATTGTACTAGCCCTGAAGTGAGTATTGTACAACCCACCCAAAAAACAAAAGTCAAACCTAAGCCCAGTGAAGTGAGGAGGAGCCCTAGGTTTAAGTAGCAGTTGGCAATTAAAGACAAAGAGGAGGCAGAAAAAACCAACAAAGGGGTAGACAGGGTTGATGAGCATACTGAGAACACCACCACCAAAAAGAAACTGTTCTCTGACAGTGTGAAAGGGAAGAACAAATTGGGTGAAGAGGAAGGTACTTCTAGGCAAACAGGGAAGAAGGGAAAGGGAAAAGCAAAAGGGAAAAGGAAGAAGAAGTGTAAGAGTGAGGTGGACTTGGAATCAGACTTTGGATCTGATTCATCAAACTCTGATACTACCATAGAGTGGGAAGTTGGGGAAGAAGAGGGGGATTTTGAGGAGGGGGAGTTTCAAGATCTAGATGACAGTGTGGGCAAGATATTAGCAGAAGTGAATGCTAGTGTAAAATGTGTGCAAGATGACAGTGATAAAGAGTTGCAGCTCCCTGAGTACAACCTTGAGAGTGAACTGTTGAGAAATGAGGTTGCTGTAGAGAGAGAGTTTACATCTGACTCTGAGGAGTTGGATAGCCCTAGAGGTTCTGAAGAGGAGCAAGACAATTGCCCAACTTTCCATCCACAGACTGACTTCAAAAAACCCATTGAATTGGTCAAAGGTTTGAAGTTCCAGAACAACAAAATTCTGAGGAGAGTGTTAAGGGTTCATGCTATTCAGAATAGGTATGAGTATTGGTATTTGCACAATGACAGTACCAAAGTAACTATTCGGTGCAGAAGGAGGTGTTAGTGCAAGTGGAATGCTAAGAAGTGTAAGCTACCTAAGTGTACTTGTGTAGGGGGGAGAAGATGTCACTTTAGGGTAGTTGCAAGGAGGTCTGTGAACCAAGACTGTTGGAAGATTAAGAGTCTGAATTTGAAGCACAAGTGTTTCAGAGTTAGGAGAAATTTAAACCTAACTGCTGAATTTTTAGCTGAGAAGTACCTTGAGGATTGGAGAAGTGATCCAGGATGGAAAATAAAGAGCTTCAGGAGGAGGGTGCTAGGTGACACTGACATTGAAATTACATACAACAAGGATTGGATGGCTAGGGCTAGGGCTAAGTTGCTGATATATGGATCAGCAGCAGAGCAGTATGCTAAAGTTTGGGACTATGGGAAGGCTATCATTAAGTATAGCCCTGGTACTGTGTGCAATGTTGTAGTAGAAGGAGTTGACCAGCCTAAGCCTCCTCAATTCCTGAGAATGTTCATTTGCCTTGCACCTATGGCAAGAGGTTTCCTGTCAGGCTGCAGACCACTGATTGGAGTTGATGGGTGCCATCTCAAAGGCCCTTATCCTGGTCAAATACTAGTTGCAGTTGGTAAAGATGGCAATAATAACATATATCCTATTGCCTGGGCAACAGTTGAGATTGAGAACACACACACTTGGGTGTGGTTCTTAGAGAGTTTAATGAAAGCCTTGAAGGATGAAAATCAAGGCCTTGGTTTTACCTTAATGTCTGATAGGCAAAAGGTATACTTCTAAACATTGCATTTATTTTTCTGTTATTCTAAAGATTCATTATTCTAAAGGCCTTGGTTTTCTTTTTTGAATAGGGTTTACTAGAAGCTATGGAGCAGGTGGTGCCTTATGCAGACAAAAGGTATTGTGTGAGGCATATATGGGCAAACTTCAAGCTACAATTTAGTGGTGCAACTTTCAAGGAGTTGTTCTGGTCAGCAGCTAGGGCAAAAACTTTGGTATGTTTCTACATTGTTATGGGTGTTTAACTGATTAAATCTATGTGTCTGTGTTGTATATCTATGTGTCTGTTTTATGTGTTTTTATGTTGTCTGACTATGTGTATTTGATGGATGTGTGTGGTGTTTCTTGCTTAGTTTGACTTTGAAGTGGCAATGGAATCAATTAAGTTTCTGTCTGAAGAAGCATATGAATATCTAGCTGAGATCCCAGCTCAACACTGGTCCAGACATGCATTTAGTCCATTCCCAAAGTCTAACATGTTGCTCAACAATGTATGTGAGACTTTTAATGCGGTCATCAAAGAAGCAAGGGATAAGCCAATTTTGACTCAGATGTAGTGGCTTAGGAGGTACATGATGAGAAGGAACCATGAGAAATGGGAGAGTTATCAGGAAATGGAAGGTAAGGTTGTTCCTTATGTGAAGAAGACATTTCAAAGGATAGAACCTGCTGCTAGACATTGCATTGTGCAGATTTCAAGGGGTGATACTTATGAGGTAGAGTTGAACTCAGACCTAGTGACAGTTGATCTCAGCAAAAAAACATGCTCATGCTCTACTTTAGTTTAGATGATTATTGTTTTACGTATTATTATTTTACGCAAACTACTGTTTTCCATATTAAGTTTTAATATTGTTCTTCTTTAGTTTTTATTATTTTTGTTTCCATTAATATCTTCTTCTTTAATTTATTTGATTAATAGTTTTCATTATGTTTAATTCATATGCTTTAATTATTTTAGTTTTGATTATGAGTGAGTAGTTTATTTCTAGGGTTGTGGAGATCCATGAATTATATGAAGGGATAATTTATTATTGTTAATTGTTAGTGTTTTAGATTAATTTCCTATTGATTGATATAATGCTATGCAATTAGATTTGGCCACGTTTAATTGTATGAGTTACGCAATATTGATTTGAGATTCGACAGATGAGAATTGATGTTTAGGATTAGTTTCAATAGGCAGGTTAATTTATAAATGGTTATGTCAAGGTTCGAGAGATGCGATTTAATACCACTAGGTTAATTCTGTGATTATAATACGTAGCGAAAGCCCTTTATAATCTGATTAATTTATGCATTTATAATTTATTGTTGTCCTTCATCCCGAAATATTATTCATTGGTTAACTTATGCCCTATGTTTTTATTTTATTGATATTCTCTTAGTCTTATTTGCTCAGTTTAATTAGTCACCTTAGATTAATTCTCATAAATTCATACTTGTTACTTGATGATTTAGATTATAATAGCTTATGAGGAATAAAAGATCATTGTTTCCTGTGGATTCGACCCTACTTCCCTATCTATTTTAGTTAGTGGTTTTAGGAATTCCTTTTGATTAGGTGATACAACTAGATCCTGTCAAAATTTGGCGCCGTTGCCGGGGAAACGGTTTTATTTTTATTTCTAATTATTATCAGAGTTTAGGTTATTTCTTTTATTCCTTATGAGTTGAAATATCCATGCTTACGCCACTACAAGAATTATATTCGTCTTTGGCCTGACTATTGTTATTGTCAACGTCTTTGTCATGAAAATCCTAAATGCCTTTATAATGAGTTTTTTGTGCTTGCTCCCAATGATTTTAGAGTCTTACCATTTATATATGATCATATTCAAAAACGATTAGTTGCAAATCAAAGTTATTGGAAGGCTCTTGATGAAAAAGTTTATGGATTTTATAATTCGAATCCTATTGAGGATGAAGAACCTGTTATAGAGTTGGTGGTTGAAAAATCATTGGTTGACGAATCGGTGACTGAAAAATCATTAGTTGTAGAAACGGTGGTTGAAGATTCCTTTGTTGATGAGCTTATTCATGAAGGTAATATATTAAAGTCATTATTGGATGATAAAGACAAAGACTACCTCAATGTTCATTATGTTAATTCTAAACTTTTAGCGGATGAAGTAGAAGGTTGTGGTATATATTTTTCTCTTTATTTTGATTTTTCTTTTTACCTTGAGTTTTCTTTATGTGCTCCTAATTTTTTCTATGTAAAGATAAGTGTGCTTGCAATTAAGCCATATCTAGTGATTAATGAAATGTTTGCAGGAGCGTTTGATAAATTACTCAAGGCGTTGAATTCTTCCGATTGAGAGAAGGAGTATGGTCGAGCGGGACCTTGATAAACTAGCACTTTGCGGGAGGCAACCCATATTTTATTGTGCGTTTGTATTTGTTTCGTTCTTAGCTAGAGAGGTATGGAGAGCGTATGTTATACTTGTGGAAGTTAGTCTATGTGCAGATTTTGATCTAGAAGGCTGATTTAAAAGGAGAAGAATAAGCTGAATTGCAATCAGGTTCGACCAGGCAGAGCTCGCCCGATCAGGCGCGCGTACGGATCAGAAAAATTGTTCACCTTCGATAGGCCATAACTTTTGCATTTCTTATCCGATTTTTGCGTGTGATCTATCGTTGGAAAGCTCTTCAAGTCTACTTTTTCAATGCAATTATGATCACTGCATTACCAAATATATGAAAAACCTTATGAGAGAAAATAGTGAACCTGACTCATTTTTGCCTCTTTTCCTACTAACACTTTGTTTCTTTTTTGCCCAAAATTAGACCAAGGTGATGCATTGCAATGCTTGAGATGGTGGTGGCTATGAGTTTGATGATGAGGGGTAGTCACTTGGATTACTAGCTTCCCTTTAAGTCAATGAGGACATTGTCTGATTTAACTTGGGGGGAGGGGGATTTCTCGTACATATATGGGTACTTTTTCTTTCCCTTTTTTTTTATTTTATTGGGTGTTCTTAGTTTAGTTTTATTGCTTTCTTAGTCTAGTTTTTAATTGTTTTATTATTCTAGATTTTATTGCTTTCTTAGGTTAGATTTATCGCTTTCGAAAAATTAAAAAAAAATACAAAAATACATTCCAATGAATAATAAATCATGCTTCCCTGTGCTCCTTGATGAAAATTTTTCGAAATTGTTTTGTTTATTGGTATATGATAATAAATATTGTGAATTAGTTGATCATAATTTGATATTTGATTGACTTGGAACTTTAACATGCGTCAATTTTGTCCAACTACTTGTGAATATGGTGCTTGACTAGTTGAGGAATGTGTGTTATTTCCTAGTATATCAATAAAGTTGGGTATTGGTTTATAACTTTGAGTAATATTTGTATGACTCATTATTATGCACAATGAGGAGGACGAAGGCGTTTGTTCTTTTAGGTGGCCTTCAGACCATTTCAGATTCATTTGTTCCCTTCTTGCTACCCATGTTGTTGCTTGTGCCCTTTTATTGTTTATTTAGCCACATTACAAGCCTATTTAAGCCCTATTGGTTACTAGTTCCAAGCTTGGCTTGGAGGAGCTAATAGTGAGTGAGGTGAGGGAGTTGTAGTGTGCACATAATTTGCACAATTTGGGTGGATTTGAGAAGTTAATTATTTGTTCTTATTTTGTGGATTGGAAAAAATTGACAAAGGTGTTCAAAAGTTGAAATAATTCCAATGTGAAATATAAAGAAAAAAAAAAAGAGCAAAAGAAAAAAACGATGTTTCAATGTTCAAGTGTTCTAATTGAAGGTTATTCAAGAGAAAGAAAAAAAAAAGGAGTTTCAAGAAAAGAAAAAAAATCAAGTTCAAAAGAAAAGAAGAGTTTCTTTGTTCACTCGAATTTTATAATGTTTATTTTTATGAGTGATTTATTGTAAGAAATGAAAATATTGTTAAAAATGGTTGGTTTGTTTGGTGAATATTTGTAGAGTTGAGCTGTGTTGGATATTTATGGTCATTACTTATTTTTGGCCTTGATTTTATTAGGAATTTGGCTCCCCAAAGTCAGCTTTACTCTCACATTTTTCCAAATATTTCCTACCCTTTTACCCTAGTCTTACATTACAAGCTTTGAACACCTTCCGTCCTTTGTGCATAGAGCTGTATAAATGTGAAATTAGTTGTTTATCAATACAAAGAATGATTTGGCATATTCCAAGTCGACTATTAGGTTGAGTGTATGTCTTTTTAAACACACGAGTGTTGTGAGTTGGGAAGGCATTATTCACATACAAAGGGGTGGTTGGAGAGCGATCGAGTACATCTTTTACTTGCCACATAAATGAGAGCTGAGTGTGTGAGCACTAGTCTTGAATTCTATATGCTATTGTGGTTTGCTCTATTTGAAAATTGTTAGGGAAGATTTGTAGTTGGATGGATTTGATTGATTGAATTTGATTCTTATTTGTCGGATTTACCTTGAATCATATTTATTGACTTAAATTGTATTTGGGTGAAGTATTGATTTATTTATTCATTACTTTGCTTAGGGACAAGCAAATGTTTAGCTTGGGGGAGTTTGATGAGTCTATTTTATATGTACTTTTATTCCTTGTCCCACAATCATATTTGTGTCTATTTGAGCTCTTAGAAGCTATTTTTATTACTAATATACGTTTTCTAGTGTTTTTGTAGAGTTGGTATTATTTTGTAGAAATTTGCAGATTTAAGACAATTCCCGAGCTTATTGAGCCATTACAAAGCATTAGAATCTGATCATATTTTATGACTAAGTATTTGAGCCAAGATCGAGTTAAAGGATTTTAATTCGGTGATTAAGGGCTCAATTTGTGAAGAGGTCTAAGTTCTTTACCAGCTAGAACACGGTCCAACCAAGGAAGGAGAATTGGGCCAAAGTTAGAAGCCCAATCTCAAGTCTGCGCTAAAATCCAGGCCACGAGCTTTAGCATGACGCTATTTTAGTTATCGGGCCTGTAAATAATTATCGGGCTTGCTGACTTAGTCAGTTTTCATTATTAGGAGGAATAGTAATTTGAATTTTAGTGGAATTAAAGAGTTGACTTAAACTAAAACTACTTTTCCTTTCTTATAAAAGGAGGGTAGTAGTTGTTATGCTGGAGTAGTTTTAGATTAGTAAGGTTTTAGATTAATCTTTTTATTCTTTAGATAAAACTTCATGCTTTACTTTAGTTTAGATGACTATTGTTTTACATAGTATTGTTTTACGCAAACTACAGTTTTCCATATTAAGTTTTAATATTGTTCTTCTTTAGTTTTTATTATTTTTGTTTCCGTTAATTTCTTCTTCTTTAATTTATTTGATTAATTATTTTCATTATATTTAATTTATATGTTTTGATTAGTTTAGTTTTAGTTATGAGTGAGTAGTTTATTTCTAGGATTGTGGGGATCCATGAATAATATGAAGGGATGATTTATTATTGTTAATTTCCTATTGATTAGTATAATGCTATGCAATTAAATTTGGCTAGGTTTAATTGTATGAGTTACGCAATATTGATTCGAGATTCGACAGATGAGAATTGATGTTTAGGCTTAGTTTCAATAGGAAGGTTAATTATATAAATGGTTAAGTCAAGATTCGAGAGATACAATTTAATACCGCTAGGTTAATTATGTGATTATAATACGTAGCGAAATCCCTTTACAATCTGGTTAATTTATGCGTTGATAATTGATTGTTGTCGTTCATCCCGAAATATTATTCATTGGTGAACTTATGCCCTATGTTATCATTTTATTGATATTCTCTTAGTCTTATTTGCTCAGTTTAATTAGTCCCCTTAGATTAATTCACATAAATTCATACTTGTTACTTGATAATTTAGATTATAATAATTTATTAGGAATAAAAAAACATTGTTTCCCTTTGGATTCGACCCTACTTCCCTATCTATTTTAGTTAGTGATTTTAGTAATTAATTTTAATTAGGTGATACGACTAGATCCTGTCTATAGCCCATGCATCGTATGGCTAACAACTATTTTCCAGAGATGTGGGGAGCTTTGAGGGGCAATTCTGCACAATACAAACTAATCAAACTCTGCAGGGGTTTTTATCTTGAAATCGTCTTTTAGTATGATCAGGAAATGAGCATGAGGAAGGCCTCTTTTTTGGAACTCAACCACATATATCATAGCAGCTACTTTCCCAAGAACATGTTTCTTCATGATTTGTTTCTTGAGACAAATCAATTTTGCGCGAAAGATATGAGCAACTATATCTGGGCGATTTTGAGTAGTTTCGCCAGCAGCCAGCTCTACTTTGATCTCTGGCCAATTAGCATTACAACTTTACAAGTCATAAACACAAATAGATCTGATTTACAATATTTAACATAATACAATATTAACTTAAAGTGAAAGATAGATTGTTAATGTTATCGTATTACATTAAGCAAGAAGATTAATATGAATGATTTAATTTATCTAAGTTTGAAATCTCCTCCATAATTTTATCAACTCCGCACCCACTTAACTAAATCTGTAATTCCATTACTTGTAATCTTGTAGTGTGTATACAAGCTGGTGGGGAAAACTCTAGAAACTTGAAATTAATAAAATTTGTGAATTCATATTGACCCGTGAACTTATATATTTGTCATGTGGGCTACCTCCAAATTTAGCCTTACTATCAATAAATTATAATCAAACAAAATAGTTCACCTATATATAATACTAGTTCTACATTACAATTTTTAGTAAACATCAATTGTATGAGACAAAATTACTCATAAATCTAGCTTTTTTTATTTTCATTCAACAACAAATAAACAAAACTCAGATGGGCAGATACTCTAAGATTTTATCTTTAATTCTTTTTCTTTTCATCAATAACACCAATTACACAATCAAAGTAGTCCAAGGAGATGAAGATTTTATCAAAAAAACATGTAATAACACTCAATACATTGATCTATGCATCTCTTCCTTGAAATCAAACCCTTCGAGCTCGAATTTGGATCTCAAAGGGCTAGCAACTATTATGGTAAATATTGGAATTGCCAATGCATCGGATACTTATGCTTATTTATCATCCCAAAATTCACAAGTGCCTAAAAGTAATGGTACAAGTGATACTACTATGAAGAATGTATACAAGTTGTGTGCTTCTAAGTATAGTTATGCAAATGATTCTCTCAAGTCTACACTCCAAGATTTGTCCATGGAAAATTATGATTATGCTTCTATGCATGTTATGGCGGCCTCCGATTACTCGAATGCTTGCCACAATGCATTCAAAAGGTACCGCGATATGGATTATCCGACGGTGCTTAAGGTTAGAGAAGATGGATTTAACCATATTTGTGCTGTGGTTTTGGGTATTGTTGATCAACTTTATTCCATTGATAACCGTTTTTAGTGTGTAATTTGTAGTACTTATAATGTTTAATGAACGTTTACATTATTCCTAAATGGTAATGTATGACATTATTGATTATATTTCTTCTTGTTCATCAATTAAATATGTCAAGATCTCATGTAAAAAAAAATGAAGTGTTAAGGTAAAATTTATTGGCTAATCTAGTTTGCAACATAGTTGATTACTAGCTCTTTAGGCACACGATCTGCTAAGTGACATATAATTTCTTACCCTTTTGTATTCTAATTATGCAATGTAAAAACATGATTTTAATTATTTAATCTAGTTTTTGGTTCTTTTTTTCCAATAAAAAATAATTGTAAAGACAAAATAATTGAACATACATCAATTTTCACACACAAAGATTAGAGATATAGGCTTACCCATTAAGTGAAAGTAGCGTTTGATGGGGTGTTCTTTATATTATTGGAATCTCTCCCTTTGTTTGATTATTATCTATGTATGAATTTAAGATTTAGTTCATTTAGTTGACCGATATAGTTGGTTATTAGTGTGAATTTCGAGTAGAAAAATATAGGATCATCAACCACCAATTCTTTGATTAGTGGTTCTTTTTATTGTGGCAATTTGAGCACATTTAGTTTTTTTCTTTTATTTGTATGCTTTATTTGCTTATTAATATCACAACTTGTAGTTTTGTACTGATATTTTGAGCTATAGTTGTTATTTGTTTTTGGAGAAATCATAAGAGCATTGTACAGATTGATAATAGGTGGACACTTCTCCCTTCCCATTTACTTATATAATAAAGAGAATTTTTTTATACACTTGACAAAAAATTGGAACGCTAAGTGTCGTTATCTCGTAATCTGGCTAAAAGTTTAGCTTTATATATTAGTTACTAATACGTACCCCGGGCGATGCCCCATTTATGTTTTAAAAATCCTTACATTAATTGGCTACTTATAAATTAATTATAAAGTAATAATTATTTTCTCAAAGGTATTATCGCTAATGTCTAAATCTATCCACGTTTGAAACATTTGTTGCTTTAAATGTTAATAATTGTATGAGTAATTTAATTCTACGATTTCATTGACATTTAACAATTTGAACTCCTAGAATTTATTCAAAACTCTTAATTCGAAAGTAAGTCTTCAGCTCCTAGACTTTTAGAATTATTTTTTTTAAAGACGACTGTCTATTTGGAATTTTAATTCTGGTGGCGATAGCCGGTTTGTTTATTGAAATTTAAAATAAAATTTTAATTTATATTCCAAATTTTAAAACATATCATTGATACAAACATTGTTATGTAAGAGGTATACTGTATATCCCTTTTGATTTAGGATATTTTGACGATTAATATATATTAGTTAATTCTGCTTGATTAATCCGATCCGATGTCGTCCTTCCAAAAAAAATCCAATCCAATGTTGTATAATAGTATCTGATTAGGGGATTTTGCTCCCACCAATCGGAATGCGCCACGTGGGCCAATCAGGTCCTGCCAAGTGTCCCCCAGTTGGACATCTCAGGGCTTGCCACGTGGCACACGCTTATTCGTCCACCCTGGACTTATTATGTCATGACACGTGGCATACTCCATGCCTAATGGAGAAGCCGGTCACCTAGGCCCAACTTCCGAGGGAAGCCCAATCAGCCCAAGGTTAACCTAAACCTAGTTTGCCACGTTTCCCGAGGTTATAAATACCTCCCTTAATCCTCATTAAGGGAGGGGACGCGAACAACGCAGATTACACACATTAAACACTCTCACCTAGAGAGACCCAATCACTTTAATTTCCGCATTAATTACTCCTTAATCAAGTACTAACTTGACCGTCGGAGGCGGATCTCCAACCATCCGGAGCATCCGTTTGTTTTGCAGGTACAGGCGTCTGGTTCCAGTCTCGGAATTGTAACTCTCCCGCAGGACATCAGAAAACCCCGAAACATTTTGGCGCCGTCTGTGGGGAGAGTACTTCTGAGATGGCACCCACGTTTGTACCGGCTCCTGAAGAGAGACGTCCCCTGGACGATCCTCTAGTTCAGTCGGACCACGATACTGAGAATGAATTTGAAGTTGAAGCTCACACAGCTTCAGACGGGACCCTAAGGGCCCGACGTACCCGTCATACCGAAAGGAGGGAACGGGAACATCTTCAAACTGGAAGCGAGCCAGCAGGCGCACCGCCTGTTCGGCAGCAGCCGACTGATGGGTCTGCTCCCATCACAAGGAACGAACTCATGACCTTCATGAGGGACTTCAAGGGAGAAATTCAAGAGTTGATCAACAAGAAGCCGCCTGCTCTGGACAAGGAGCAGTCGGCTAAGAAACCCTCACTTCACGGAAGAGGAAGCCAGTTCAAGGGCGAGAGGCGACCCTTCATCCTAAATCTAGGAAGTGGGAGCCACCTGCCCTTGATTTCACAAAATACCGTTTTCCTACTCCAGGAAATAGGAAACCTGTTCGTCATATTCAGGCGGACGGGTCGAGGAAAACATACACAGACGCTCGGCTACTGCTAGAGCAGAAGAAGAGTGACCGATTGTCAGAGTCGGCCTCTACTTCATACTTCCAAGACAGTCTGCGAAATACCTCGATGAGGCATACTCAGTCGTATCATGAGAGTCAGTCAGGCGGCACCTCCCGTCAGTCCGGCTTTCATAGCGACCAGGCGGTACCAAACTTACCGTTTGTACCGCAACAACAGTATTTTTTACAGCCACCTCCGTTTGGTGGACATGCAGCAAAAAATGTCCAACCTATGGACTGGCAGCTACGATTGCTTAGACTTGGTGAACAGTCGTCGGCCTTCTCCAAGGAAATTACTGAAGCCGCTCAGCCGGCTAAAGTGAAAAATGTATTAGTAGGCGCCTATGACGGCACTACTAACCCAGAAGACCATCTGATGGCATTCACCAACCTGATGTACCTTCAAGGGTTGGATGATCCCACTTGGTGCAAGTGTTTCTCAGCGACTCTCAAAGGAATCGCACAACAATGGTTCGGCAACCTGCCGACTGGTTGTGTAAATAACTTCAAGACGCTTGCTTACTTATTCACCTCCAACTTCTCCATGAACATCCCTGCGAAGAAGACGACCCTTGATTTAGGAACAATTCAGCAGGGCGAGAAGGAGGGGCTTCGTTGTTACATCAGGCGGTTTAACCTGATGAGAATACAGATTCAAGGGTTACCGGATGAAGTAGCCTATACTAAATTTTTCAGAGGTCTCAAAGACGGGTCGACCTTCAAATTTGATTTGGTCCGAAAGAGGGTGGCGACTCTTCAAGAGGCCTTGATTGAAGCGGAAGCCTATATACAGGCGACTGATCTTTGTAGTACGGTAAAACAGTCAGACGGGAGAAGGTCCGACAAAAGAGAAGGACGACAGAAACAGTCGTCAAACAAAGACGAGAAGAGAAAAGAGGTCTGGGCGGCTGATTCCTCTAAACAGCCGGCCAAGAAGAAGAAAAAAGAATTCAAATCATACTCCCCAAAGTATGCGTTTAACAAGGATAGCCAATTTATCCTAAAGGAAATCAAGGGACGGATCTCAATTGAGAAGCCGGTCCCCATGAAGGGTTCTGCAAACAACCGGAACCAAGAAAAATTCTGTGATTATCATGAAGATGTTGGTCATCACACCAATGAATGCATCAGTCTCATGCGGTATCTGGACCGCCTGGCTGAGCAAGGTGATCTTGATACTTATGTCAAGAAATCTACGGGGAACACTTCCTCGAAAAAGCAGTCGGCCAAAAAGAATCAACAGGCCGACAGCTCCGATACAGATGATGCAGTCGTCTACACCATTGCAGGCGGCTTCTCAGGAGGCGGCCCCACTATTAGGGGCAACAAAGACAATATCAGACGGTTAGATGTAAATTCCGTTCACCAAGAACGACCCTCCAAATATTCATTTCCTGAGATTGTCATCACTGAAGAAGATCTAGGAGGGGTAAGAGGGCCGCATGACGACCCTATCGTTATTGAATGTAAAATGGCCAACCAGAGAGTTGGCCGAATCCTCATAGATACCGGAAGCTCTTCAGATCTCATCAGTAGCAAATGTCTGTCGAAACTAAAATATCAGACTGATTGCATACATCCGGCATCCCACCCTTTAGTAGGGTTTGGAGGAGGAGTCGTCCACCCAGTGGGACGAGTGGATTTACCCATCCGCCTGGGCGAAAAAGGGGAAGGACGACACATGGTAGTCCGGTTCCTGGTAGTAGAAGAACTCTCGGCCTACAACATGATTCTGGGACGACCAACCCTGAATAATTCCAAGGCTGTTATAATCCCATCTCTTATGTTGCTCAAGTTTGAGAGGGATAATGGAACAGTCGGGTCCCTAAGGGGAGATCAGAGGATGGCCCGAGAGTGCTATCTCTCGGATGTCAAGCCCACTGTTATGGCCACTGGGTCGAGCGGTGGAAAAATAGACCTTGACAATGTCAAGGAGAGTGCGCCTGTTCAAGAAGCAGGCGGCAAGAAGAGAAAGACATCCTAGACAAGGGCCGCAAGAAAAGACAGAAAATAGCAATCATTGGCAGAGGAGCGGTCGGATGAATTCCGCCCTCAGCCGGCTGGTGAGCATACGGACCTGATCTTAGATAACTCGCGTCCTGACAGAGCAATCAAGGTTGGGACGACTGCTCTAAGGGACCTGGGTGACGACTTTCACAAACTATTGAAAGAATACAAGGACATCTTTGCATTCGAAGTCCATGAAATGCCAGGCATTAGTCCTGATCTGGCGGTACATAAACTGGCCGTGGATCCGAAAAAGAAGTCGTTACGGCAGAAGAAGCGGAACCATGGCGAAGAAAGAAGTCAGGCGGCAGCCGCCAAAGTTAAAAAATTACTTGATGCAGGGTTCATTCGGCAATGTTACTTCCCAGACTGGGTTGCAAATGTGGTGCTTGTTAAAAAGCCGAATGGCACCTGGCGAATGTGTGTAGACTACACAGACTTAAACAAGGCGTGCCCCAAAGACAGTTACCCTCTGCCTAAAATTGATAACCTGGTCGACTCAACAGCCGGCCATGCTTTGATGAGCTTTATGGACGCCTACTCTGGTTTTCATCAAATTCCTTTATGGAAGAAAGATCAGGAGAAGACGGCCTTCGTCACTGATCAGGGGTTATACAGTTACACGGTCATGCCGTTTGGTCTTAAGAATGCCCCGGCCACTTTCCAGCGAATGATAAACACTGTGTTCTTTGATCAGATTGGGAGAAATGTCGAGGCACATATTGATGATATGA